AAGGGAAAGGAGGAAATTGCTTAAAAAAGGAAAGCAAAAATAAAGAAAGAGAGGATATCAGTTAAAAAAGGTGGAAGGAAAGAATTAAGAGCTCAAGAAAAGTTACAGCAAGGAGGATATTTCAGGATGGGTACAACATTCGAAGCAATGAGATGAAGACATGATCATAGAAGAAAGAAAAGAAAAAGACGTGCAACAAAGAAAGAAAGGAGGGAAGCAATGAAGCGAGGAAGCTTAAATGTTGAAGGGAAAGAGGACAACCGAATGGTGAAACAAAAGAAGATGGAACTACCGTATTTTTCTGACTATTAGTGACACAGTATTTCAAAGTTTGGCTGGTCCTGCAACTTATGCTCAGGTGGGACTTCTATAACCTAAAAAGATTGCTCAAGAAGGTGGTGGTCGAAGAGGAAAGTAGAAGAACTAATGGAAGCAAAAGAACTAGAAAATAAAAAACTGTAGTCATGGCAACTAAGGTGTGATGTAACTCTTCTCCTCTACCGTGCGATGTCCACTACCATGCGGCGTCCGCCACAACAGGGATTTAGTATTTACAGCAGCAAAACTCTCAATAGCCAACCAGGATTCTCCCTTGGTTCGCAATCCAACGTGGCATTCTGCTTTGTAGTTAAGGTAAGCCATTTTAGACGACAAGAAAAACTTTTCCGTGGTTCGAATCAGAAGTTTCACCCAACTGGAATTTGATGGCTGCTGTCAACATGAGGTGCATTCGGAAACTCACTCTGATGCCCGAACACCAGTCTGAGAGTGCATGTGTCTATATTTGAGTTTGTGTGTACGTGTCCTGCACATCTGTTACGCTCCCTTCAGGTAGTTCAATCCCTTCAGTTGAGATCGTCTTCCCTTGCCGACTTATCATTCGCCCACACCCTTATCTAAACCGAATGACATTCTGATGTCATTTCTGTATATCCTTGTGAGGTGAAACAGGGAGTCTGCGTCATGCATACAGCTTGTCATCCATCATCCATGTAGAAGAGGTGGCTCTGCTTCTGAACCGGTACCCAAAGCCCCTCTTGGTTATGATGGGATTCAGGCCAATGGAGTATGCCACATTTACTATTCACCTGTTGGGTTCCAAAGTTGTAGTCCACAGCCTCATTGAGTTTTTGATGAAGGTTCTTAGAATCCTGTTGATGTTGTACAGATCCAAGCATTCTCGTATCCACGTTTGCGGCAGTGAGTCGGAGGCTTTCCTGTCGTCAATCCAGGCAGTTCACCGATCGGTGCTTCTGGTTTTACAATCTTGGGTGATTGTTATGTCAAGTTGTAGTCGACGTTCGGCACCCCTGGCGTTATTACCTCTGCCTTTCTGTCGTCTGCTCATGTATTGACCCATATGCCTACTCATTTTGGCTGCTCGGATGCCTGATAGAAGCTTTCGTGTGGTGTTAATGCAGGTTATAAATCTGTAGATTAATGGAGCCGCTCCCTTCCGTGGGTCCTTTATGATAAGGACTGTCCCACCTTGTGTTAACCATTGTGGGTGGATCCCTGATGTTACTGTAGCAGCTGGTTTATTTGTGCTGCCAGGCAAATGACATCAGTGTTTTTTCATTCATCACCTAAATCTTGACCCTAACCTCAGTGGTGGGCAGTGAGGAAGTACCAATTGAAAGGTCCATCAGTCCGTCAGTGATGGACTCTAATTTTGCTGAGGACTGACAGAAACTTGACAGCCGCATATCTGGCGTGTGTTGTTTCGTGGGGGTGACTACAGCTGGGTTGCTTTGGGCGGAGGGGAGGAGGTTCTCCTCATCCTCTGACAGAAAAAAAATATTTGAACATTGTTAGTTAATCTGGTGACCTGTGGTTGTGTTGGATACTAATTCCCCATTCTCCACGCCTGCTCCTCTTTTAGGTCGCCTGGGCCGGTAAAGAAAGCTGGCTGTGTTGTGTTAAAATGTTTAGACTAGTTTGGGCGCATAGAACATCCATCCATCCAATTTCCAATCCGCATTATCCTCACAAGGGGCATGCTGGAGCCTATCCCAGCTGTCTTTGGGCAGTAGTAGACACCCGAAACCGGTGGCCAGCCAATCGCAGGGCACACAGAGACGAAACAATCATCCGCGCTCACACTCACACCAAGTGTATTTCGAGTGTTCAATCAGCCTGCCACGCATGTTTTTGGAATGTGGGAGAAAACCGGAGTACCCGGAGAAAACCCACGCAGGCATGGGGAAAAAAAAATGCAAATTCCACACAGAAATAATAAGAAAACCTCTATTTGTTTTAGGATCGAACGCAGGACCTCTGCACTGTGAGGTTCACGTGCTAACCTCGCTTGCATAGAACATATTGCAGTAAATTTTTTTGTGTGTGTGTGTGTCCACTTCAAACAAAATTGTTGGAGATTGCACTATTCAGAATTTTGACACCATTATGTTCTGGTTTGTCCAGGTGAATATTAACTCCAAATTATGGTTATCAGCCTCCTTGACTGCTAATAATTTTTTTCAGCCCTGACAGTCTATCTCTGATTTAAAACCCTTCGACTACAGTAAATCGGAGAAGGTACTTAATAAAAACCAACAGTTTTATTTCGGGTGCTGTGCTGTGAGATTGACTCAACTTCTGGTGTAAACTCTGTGCCTTGGCTCGATAAAGATTGTAAAACAGTGGCCTAAAGCTGTTTTAATAACACCACGCCCCCTAGCGTTGCGAGCGCCTAATCCCCGTGCGTAACGCAGTAAGCAGATTTGGCGTCCATATGCTCCCATTTGGCTCCAGATGTGCGAGGCCGCTGACATCAGTGCGAACACAAGCAGCGCATTTAATTCTCCACTGCCGTCGTCTCACTTATGAGGAATAAATCACCGACTCCCCTGTGACCTTGGAGTAACCTTGGAGCAAGGCTCAGATGAGGAAAGGACACCCACTGTACACATGTAGTATCCAAAACAGTGTGAAACCGGATCCCATAAATGGTGCTGATAATGAAGGAAACTTTTGAAGAACAATTTTCAAATTTTTCCAAAGTTAAAGGGTAAATGTTTGGCACTCGAACAAGTTGAACTTGAAAGATGTGCTGCAAGTTCGCCAGTGCTGCCTCCAATTATAAATCCGATTTGTAAACTTGAAATGCAAAACTTACCCTGCAGGTTGAATGGCACACACGAGGTGAGCCAGTGTGAGACATCTGCTCGCGATCAGCTCTAAAGAGAAATACTCTTGGGAATTACTGTACTTATTCTCGCTTTACACGCAACTTCGTAAAAAGTGCACATGTTTGAGATCGGACGGTGGGAAAAAGGAAAAATAAGAATGAAGATCAGACTTTTGAAAACTGAAGCAGGATGCCAGGGATTTGTTTTCAAAGTCATTATTCGATCTCGACTGATTCTTTAATGCTTATAGTCGTTGAGGGCATGTATGAATGTTACTCCATTGCCCGGCATTCAATTAAAATATTTGCACATGTTTAGTTTTTATGTTTCATAAGTAGAAACGAATGCTGTTTCATTGATCTCAGCTGGTAAATATGAAAAAAAAAAATCTGCACTAACAACATTGGAGTCTGATCTTTGTGCAAAATGCAATCCTCTTTCATGGTTAGAAAACCATATCGCTGTAATAATTAGCAGGACTGACCAAATTGACAAATTTGGAACTTGATGATCTCAACCCCGTGTGTGTATCGATGAAATAGAATTAATGTCACTTTGAGGGGGTAGTATTGAGGATTTTCGACCAACTTTTGGTGTTTTGCGGAATGTCGCACGTTAGGAATACTGCACTTATGGCGCATTTGCAAAGTTGGGTTTAGCTCAGTGCTGTTTTTCCATTGCAAAAATAAAATGGTATAAAATGAACTGATCCATGTCGGACCACTTTTTGGCCGTCTTGCTGTGTACGAAGCAACCACGGTGGCAAAGAGCCTGAAGCTCTACACATTGCAGTCTGCTGGAAAGAGAACGGTCACGTTCCCAAACGTTCCCAATGCAGAGTTGGATGTGAAGAAAGAAGAACAAGGCTTTCAAATGATCGAAATTTAAGTTGAGGCTTTGCATATGCCAGCAAAGTTAAGTTCGAAATTGCTGTGACTCCTCCTCACCTGACAGTTCCTCAAAGGTGAGAGATAATGTGGAGATGCCTGGAGGGGATAGTCAAAAATATTCATCTTGACCTTGACAGATTTCAGTGAAACAAGTGACATACCTCAATCCCAGAAATTAGATTGCTCACTAAGACTGCATTTTTTTAAACGTGATGTGATGGGGTTTTTTTTGTTTTTTGTTTTTTATAATGGTGAATGTGATGTTCAATCAAGGTGTCTATTTCCATCAAAAGTGTCTTCAAACTTTTAATCGATCCCTCGGCCTAAATAAAGAGTAATAAGTAGTCACTGAGCTGTTTGATGATAAAAGTAAAGAATGGGCCACAGGATGCGAAGGAGAGAATTGTGTTTGCAGATCAGAAAAAAAAAAAATTAAAAAGCATGTCAAAGGTCAAGGCTATAAGACCAACTCCACTTAGGTTTTTCATTCATTACCAATAGGGTACCAAAAATTCTGTCTACAATTTGTATAAAACACAAGATAGTCTCTGTGAAGTTTAGGGTGGCTAACAGCTCTAATGTTGACTGTTATGACGCAACATCCAAGATTACTTCTGCAAATCAGCGTCAAGCAATTTGGCATGATGGTTCGGAGTGGTATTTTTGCTGATTTGGCGCAACAGTGGGCCTCATCTGCGTTTATTTACACCCTTTGGCTTGCAAAATATACCCAATGGACCTTTATTGAGCAATTAAGGAGCGCAAACGTTTACAAGGCACTTTAATAATGCGGCCGGAACGGAAGTTCTCCACATGACTCTCGAGGTTTTCAAAGTATCGTCTCAGAAGTATTTGTGAATACTACAGTCTTGAGTCGTCCCAAAGAGCCAGTCAAGAGGCCCAGGACGCAACAAGGCAGGCACTAGGACCTCACAGCACATTCAACAAAGACGCACAGTGTCCTACAGTACTTGCTCACTATTCCAACTACCGTACTTGCTCACTATCACAACAAGTTTCCAACAAGTGCAGTGTTTCCGAGAGCGACGTTTGGGACAAATGACAAAGAATGTGCTCGTCTCCTCCTGGGCATCCTTTGGACGCGACCTGGAATATATTTCAATAATCCTCTGGAGCAGCAAGAAGCCAAGCTTTTTCAGAGGTAGACCACTATTTCTCTTTAAAATCCTTGGAATTACAGAAAATTGCAACGCAACAAAAGTCGTTTGAACAAGTTTTTAGGCGTAAAAGAATGGAGCTTTATTCCCGCTTTTTAGGTGCAACGCTGTCCAACTGAGGCAACTTTCTCAGGTTTCATTTGCACAGTTTTTACATTTCCTCCCTCCGTGTTAGGTGATAAACACAACCTGGTGGGGGGCTTCAATGACTACTGTACTACTGAGACATTTTCTGAGGGCTGAGCGTGTTGTAGGTCAGCTTCAGAGGGGAACCTCCATCACCTGCGGGACTACTGCTGGAGCATAGCTGCGGGGATCATCAGGTTACATCGTGGCTGCACACCTCTTCTCTGGAGGTACAAAAAAAAAAAAGAAAGAAAAAAAATCCTGCAGAGTTCCTGCGTTTGTGTGGTATGTTGGCGTGGAAACAAGGAGGTAGCTGCAGGGCAATTTTCTCAAATTATGCCAAAGAGCACAGTAAATGAATGATTGCGTTCTTGTCATAATAGCAGGTGATTATACCGGAGAAGACTTGCTACTATTTGGATGTGTCTTCAGGAGAAGATTTGCTCAGAGTTAATCGTTTTCCTCAAAAACCATTCCCCGGGCTTTTTTTTTTTTGGTCCCCGTGAAAAACCTTTATATTGTTTCATAGTTTGCATGCATACATCACCTTCCTCTGGGTGCAGTAAAGCATGAACTCCTGCAGATGGTATTACTGTTCATTGTTCCACAAAGACTATTTTCCAAGTTTTGTCAGGAGACAAACGGCAGTTTAAAATACTGAGGAGTGATGGAAAAACCAATCAGGGTGGGACAGCGAGGAACTTGAAAGACATTTTGGCAAGAAAATGTTACAGACAAACAAAGCTGTCTCTTTTTTTGCTTTTTTTGTCGATCAATGAAAGAGGTGGAGAGTGTCAGGAAGACTTTCGCCTTGGTTGTGACTCCATTTGTCCTCAATTTGTTCCGCTGGAGGAGAAACTGTAAAGTATTCGTGAAGCTTTGGTCACAAACGGATTGGTTGAGGGGTCAAGTGTCTTTTAAGTGACTGGCAGATTTTGAGTTAGAAGCACCGTTGCCTGCAGAGCTGTTGAGACATCCTTGAAGATGTTAATGCACTGATTTACTAGTGAAATAATGGTGTCAAGTGGTATTCATAAAGTTCTAACCTTAACCTTAACCTATACCTCTTAGGCCCGTCGCACATTGAGCAATGTGGCGAAACTCCACTCAACGCTTGCGCAGTTTGCGGGGTCCTGCATTGCCAAATCTTGGCCACTGCTTTTGGGGTGATTCCAAATTAGAACTGCAGTTGTGACGATGTCACAAATTAGAGCCAATTTAATGCATGGTAGCTTTCACACAGGTCGAAAAATCCATTTCCACGTTATAAGCTAGAGAGACACTTCGCTCACCATGTGCCACCAAGATATAGAAGTAGAGTTTATATACTTTGGATACAGTACACACATTGTGTTTTACAAGAATACTTATACATATTTATAATTTCGTATGTACAAATTACCTGCAAAATATGCAGCATGCGAGCAGCATATGTACCGCACTGGTTACATACAAATGAATGGGAGTGAGACCCACCTTTCCATATATCCCCATTTTCTCATCATTATTCTCAGCCAGGTCTTCTTTCTGTAGCAACCTGCGTCATCCTTAACTGACTTATCTTTTGGATTAAAACAAGATAAGGTACAGCATACTGTATGAGGAGCCTCAGGTGGCGATGCAGGCTCACACATTTCACATCAAAAGGAGTCATAATGCTAAGTCGCCCAATATGCAGGGGTCAGTGGCCAACCGGCATTGTTTTTGCTTTGGGCTATTTGGTTTATCAGCGTTATTTGAAGAATATCTTGGTTTGACATTTATTTTCCCAATGCATTTCAATGGCCATCACTTATACGTGGATTTTCAATGTTCATGGGCCAGTTGGTCCCTATCTCCCAGGAATAGTGGGGTTCCACGCTATAGCACACTAAAAGTTGTACTATCACCATTAACCACTAGATGGCAGACATAGCTTAGTTGCAATTGCTCCAGATCCTATACTGCCGTATAATGCAACATGAGTAGGCCTAATTTGTTAGGCCTAATTGGAATTACATACATGACCCACATAGTACCTCATTACAGTTTTGAGTGAGATGATTTTTGTGAAAATATGCACAAAATGACTGTGCACTAAATGTTGGTTTGCTGTTAATCAGTTTTATGCCATCCTTGAATGGGAATGTTTGTGCACAAAAGCCCTTTGCATTGGGGAGGACTCATAACAAATGGTTATTTTTTGGATTGTTCACACCCTTTGTTGTTCAAGGCTGGATCTTTTGTATATGCACTGACAAAAGTATAATGACAAATTAAATATAAGAAGTGCATGTCTTTTGCACCTATGCATGTATTTTGCCGGAATCGAACCCTGCACTTCTGCACTGGGAGGCGGACGTGCGAATCGGTTCCCACCATTCCACCTGTGTTTTGTCCATAATCCAATTAAAATTTATTTGTCCCAGTGTGGGACAAATAAAGGATATCTAATCTAATCTAATCTAAAAAATGCTGCATTTGATCATAGTTTGACCACCTTTTCTCTTTCTCAAGCACAAGAAATACGTAATGCTCTTAATATTTTATCTTTTCTATTTTAATGTCATTTGATTACAACAGTTGGCCCATATGACAGGTTTGAATGTGGATCGAGGGCCATAGATGGGTCTGTATTTTTAAAAAGATCTATATTCATTTTATGTGACAAATTTAGAAAGATCAGAGTCTTCGAGGTACCGTATTGGCCCGAATATGAGACGGCCTTGATTGTAAGACGACCCCCTCTTTTTCAAGACTCAAGTTTGAAAAAAGACGTTTTGAACACCAAATAAATTTTTATACAGAAAATAATTACAGTACATCTGAAACAAATGATTATAACAATATATTTCAGAGAAAAAGCATGTTATTTTGCCTCATTCAAATCTGAAGTGCAATCACATTCGTAAATGAATGGCTTCTGGTTTTTGAAATGTAAATTAAATCATAACTTCTCCTCATCTGCCGGTTAACCTGGCCGATCTTCGACCCACTTTTCTCCAGATTGTCGCTATGTTTCTCCATTTTCTGTTATCTCTTCTATTATTTTCTTCTCTTTTCCTTCTTACCGCTATTTTTAGTTTTCTTCTTCGTGGCAGGGGTTCACTTTGGCCTGGGGAGTCAAGTTCAGCATTCGCTTCAATGATATCTGGCGCCATCTAGCATCGTGAATAGGTATAATGTCTAGACCCCGAATATAAGACGACCCCCACTTTTTCAGTCTTATTTCAATGCAAAAAACACCGTCTTATATTCGGGCCAATACGGTAATGCATTGGTTTTCTGACCATAATTACTCTTCTTGCAAAGAAAATTTGATAGTCAGAAACTGAAAAGTGCTTTGGTGGAGAAGAAGAATAGTTTACATACCAATCGAGATGCTTATGTTCAGGGATGGGCCAGTACCGATATCAGGTATCAGGCCCATACTGGCCTTATTTTAAGGTGTCAAGTACTCATGCAGACTGCTGATACCAGCTACCGTTACTTCACGCAAATATAAAATCTGACATCAAGTAAGTCCTCCTTGTCAGGAGGTGGCGCTATACTGGAGCAGTTGGACACATCGGCAAACCATCACCTCCATCAAAAGAAAGATCTTCATTCAAATTTTTTCTCATTTGTTAAATCAAATTGTATCTATCAAAAGTACTAGGGGTATCGGTGCTTGGTATCGGTGAGTACTCAACCAGTCAGTACTTGTATTGGTATCGGGCTGAAAAAAATGTCATATCAAACATTCTTTATTTTGTTAGTTGTGTTTGGCTCGATTGGCAAATCACAATGTTATTAAGTAAATAAGAGCTCTCTAATGTCATTGCAGCTTTTGTCATTGCTCATTTGTCTACATTCAAAAAATTGTACAAAAGTTTTTGCTCCAGTTTATCAATCATCTTTTGACTTTTTCTCCAAAGCAACAGTTTCATGTCTTCCCAGAATTTTCTGGTTTAAACATTAAATTCAAACAACAACAGTCCAAACTCTTGGGTGACTTCAGTAGCATTCCTACCAGTCCAACAGCATCTCTCACACACACACACACACACACACACACACACACACACACACACACACACACACACACACAAAAGTTTACTTTTTTTTCGTGACTGTGTTCAGCAGTATGTCAACACACTTTGTTGAAAATGGGTTATGGTGTTAGAATCCCTTGATGTTAAAGAGCCTGTGGTGATAACGCCCCAAATAACAGCCTTTGACAGTCCCAAAAACATTGTCGGTCTTTTTCATTCGCATTGAGTCAACTCTTGTTTGGTTTCCCTGAAGTCCATAACAAAGTAATGGACAACTGAATGCATCATCATTTGAGATGATTACTGATCCCCGAGGAGCAATCGATAATGAGTCCTTGCCGAGACACACAGGCGAACAGCATTCCATTGAAAGACAAACTGTCAATTTCTTTATCCTTGAACCTGAGCTTGTATGCTCGGCATCTTCTGGCCCACACATTGCGGAACATGCCTACAGGTAAACTCACTGCTTGGAAGGACGCTTCTCATGTCTCTCCAAAGACTTGGCAAGAAAAAAAAGGCAACGTGACTTGGGCCTTTACTCATCAGACATGTGCGAGCTCACTGTTTAGACACTGGGACTATTTCTAATGCTTTCAAGCACGATGTTGGCTGGAGGCAGAATGAGGTTGAAGATATTTGGGCGGAAAAAAAAAAATCCAAGTTGATCCGCAGCTGGTCCAACTGATTTTTCTTGGGTTGGCACTCTGAGGGCTGCCGTTGGGTTTAGTGTCATTTCAGGCCATTGTTTTTACTGTGAGACCACAAACTACACCTCGGATTCAGCAAGAGAGAGAAAATGTGCACCTTTATAAGGGACAAAGTACAAACATCTTCTGTGTTAG